GCGTGATGACACAGTTATGCCAGGACACGAATAGGGTCGGGATTGTATCAGGAGACGAGTTGCAATGGGAAATTGTGTCATCGTGTCTCCACTACTTATAGAATAAGCTCTTGATTTTGGAGTAGAAGCATATCTTTGCAGACTTCGAACACGTCGTAATAGAGCTACAGCAGAGGATGAGGAGGAGAGGAAGAGGTTGATGGAACAGCAATATGAGCTGAGGGCTCGCAAGGTGGAGGAGTGTCGAGCCAGGCTACTCCGGTCTGGGGAGGATGCGGGAGATTCTGATGAGGATGCCACTAACAAGAACAAGTGCTTGGATACATGCAAGGTAAGGTTGGCCTAGTTGCTCTTATAGTAGTCATTGCTTTCGGAATTGTGCGTGATGTAATAATGCCGACTCTATTGTGGCCTGGTTTGTTTTATAGTGGAATTCACCAGGCTAGAGTTTGTTGGTATGAGAAGAGAGGGAAGGTATTGTTGTTGTGGTCTTAGTCGTATGCGACGCCAGATGATATTCCTCGTGATATTCGAACGACTAAGCTGACTGTTGACGCCAAGCATGATACGTTGTTGGTGCCTATCAATGGCAACCTGGTGGCATTCCATATTCGAACTATCAAGAACGTGAGCAAGCCTAACGACGAGGGGGGAAAGTATACGTCCATACGTACGTGTTATGGGGGGGGGTGTCTATGATGATGGTGGCGATGAGATAGGTATCAACTTTCATGCGCCCGGTACTAGCTTTGTTCAGCAGGACATGTTCCCGGAGGCTAACAGGTGGGAGAAGTGACAAAGGTGTGGTATGAGAGTGATTTTTATGTTAGGAGTAAGGAGACTCTTGTCTACCTCAAGGAGCTGAATTATCGGGCGGAGGATGGTAGGAACTTGCAGGCTGTATTTAGGTAGTGGAATTTGGATGGGGAATTTACTTGTTAGAAATGGTTGATTTTCAGAGGCTTGAAGGAGCTCCAGAAGAGGCAGAGGACGAGGGAGTTGGAAGCTAACACTATGAAGGACATTAAGGAGCAGCCATCGTTGAAGCTGATAAAGGATAGGAGCAGACCTGTACTGAGGTAGGCTTGGTGCTTAGGAGTTGCTGTTGTTATGGTAGTTGCTAGGGATCTCAACGTGAAGCCACAGCTGGGCTCGACTGGTCGTAATAGGGCTGTGGGCACATTGGAGGCGCATCAGAATGGATTTAGGTGGGTATGTCGTGGTAGACAGTACTATTTTTGATACGTGGTTTACCCTTTATTTCGTGTAAACTTATCATTACGTGTATTATGAATGGGCTTTGTGGCCAGGTTTACCTCTTCTCGGGCTGAGCATGTTGATATCATTTATCGGAATATCGCACATGCTATTTTCCAGCCTTGTGAAAACGACCAGACGGTGTTGCTTCACTTCAACTTGAAGGATCCGATTTTGGTAAGGGGAGGCTGTGAGATTTGGAGGAGTTATGGTATGATTAGGTGAGTGGTAAGAAGAAGACATATGATATCCAGTTCTATACGGAGACTAGATCGGCTGGTGACGACCTGGGGACGAGGCGAAGGGTAGGGCGTTGTCGGCCACTTGGGAGGAAGTTTCACTGAATTTTTTTCGTAAATTTTTATTGGTGAAGCATTGAGGGTAAGTTATGA